TCTGATAAAATAAAAAATAAAACAAAAAATATAATGAGATATTTAAAAACTTGGATTATATTCCAAGAAAACCTTCCTGGAGTGATCTGCATACTCTGGTTCAAGCTCGTAGATGCTGTTAACGACGACGCCGCGGCTACTCAACTCCGATTCCTCACTTGATTCAGCAACTTCGACGACTCTGTTTCTCTCTCTTCCGGACCATACGGACCCACTTGCCTTCTGGTCAACCTTACCTCGTGTGGAAGATTAGGCAAGACAATGGGTTCAGAATCAGAAGAGACGACATTAAAAGGCTTTGATGGTGATGGCGGCAGTGGCGGCATTGATGGCGGTGGCGTTAACAATGGTGGGTTGGTGGTGGTTGAGGTGGTGGTGGTGGCGGTGGAGACGGCAACGACATCAATGGCCGCGATGGCGGTGGCAGTGGCGGTGGCGGTGGTGGAGGTGATGAAGGCGACAACTGTGGTTGTAGGGGTGGTGGTTGGGTGGTGGCGGGTAGTCGGAGAGTGTGGAGGTGAATATCGTGGCCAGAGAGTTGGTCTCTGTTGATCGATTTGTGGAAGATGAGGGCGTCGTTGGGGATGGTGATTACGGTGGCTTTGACGCCGTGAGATGCGAAGAGTCTAGCAAGGTCGATCATAGGGATCAAGTGGCCTCCGCCGACAAAAGGGAAGAAAAAAATTTCGAGTTTCCCAGAAGAATCCATGGTTGATGAGAGTGATCAAGGAGGATTTAGAGTGGAAGGGGAGAATAGATTTGGCTGCTGATGGTTTGTATTGGGGTGGTTTGGCTTTCTTGGTCTTATAGCAACTCTAAGGGCCTAAGTAAAAGGGGATTTTTAGCTATCGTAGATAGTCAGATCGGAAATGTTGGTTTTAACGGCTTAGGTATTCCGCTAGGTATTTTTCATAATCTGATATCTGTTCTGGTGACCTTCTCGGCTAACTACTTCATCATCAAATGTCATTTTTTGTGCCAAAATCCTTACTCCACGTAAGCTCCAGATACAACTAGTTCAAATTAGTCCTCTCTCTTACAGATAATTTTGTATATAGTTTTCAAAGCAGGTATGCGATTCAGACACTTTTGGTGATGACATTAACCAAATAAATTAAATTATATATGAACTTATTTACTTAAATGTTTCAGTACTATGGTGACCAATTTTTACAAAATCTTAGTATTTAGTTTTTGATTTGTTAAAGGACAAAGGGTTAAAGGGTATCTCTTTGTTCAGGCTAACAATCCGTATTGAACCCTTTTGATTCCATTTTTTGGAGCTCAAATCAAATATGGGTTTCTGTATTTTTGATTCATCAGAATTTTTTTTTTTTTTTTTTTTGGTCGGATGATTCATCATTAATTTGTATCACCATATATGCTCTCTCTCTCTCTATCCGGGGAAGACGATAAGTCGATTAAAATCCAACAAATTCTCCCAAAATTTAGTAAAATTCCTCCAAAAATTCAACAAAACTCTCAAAACAATTCTTAAATCCAGCAAAATCCCCCCAAGTATTTTATGATATTTACTCTTGTAGCTCATCGTTTATGATATTTATTCTTGTAGCCTATAATTTATTAAATTTATATAATTTATAGTTAAATTGTTATTTTTTTAATTTTATTATTAAAAGTTAGTTGAAGTGGTCAACTAAAATAGATAGCGTTGTTAGAGTGAATTTAAAAAAGTGATTAGTTAAAGTAAATAATATAATATTTAAATATATTTTGAATAACTAATTTAGATAGTATTGTTGGAGTTGCTCTTAAACCATTTCCAAGGAACTCGGTAAAGATAAATTTTTAGTTATTCTAACCTGCTATGTATTCAACCGACTATTTTTCATAACTCATTCTTTCCTCGCTACTTCTGGCGTGCAATTTTTTCCTCGCCATTCTTCCCACAAAGCTCATTTTTTTCGGCTAGCCTCTCCACAAAGCACCCTAAAGAACGACAAATTCTCTTGAACCAAAGTGAACATCCCATGGCCTCACAGTCTACTGATCTGGGTGATCGTAAAGATGTAGTAATCAAAGCCATTGGCAAAGAGAACAGTAAACAAACTGAGATTACTTCACAATTGCCGTCGCCTTCGCAAATTAACAATTGTGGAAGTGATCCTAACAGCCGTCATCGTTGCAATTCCTCTTTGGATTCGTTAATGCTTCTCAGATATGTGATTTGGATCTATTTTGATTTTTTTGGAGATTTTTTCTTCTTGATTTATTCCGTCTAAAAACTTTTTGATTTTGCCGGAGATTTATATCTTCATACCTTCTAAAAACTTCAATTCGTGCTTCGTCTCCAAGGTGGCATGCAAATTTTGGTGCAATTGATTTTTTGTTATTTGAGGTGGATGGGTGTTACACTGTAATTTTTAATTATATTATTAAAAAATAGTTAAAACTAATTAAAATAGTTATTTATAATAAAGGGTGTGGTCATAATAAATTTATAAAAATGACTAGTTAAAATAGAAATTATATTATTTAAATATATTTTGATTAACTATTTTGGCTAACGTGTTTGGAGTTGCTCTATGCTTGTGTGTTTTTATAATGAGCAATGATATGTGGACTTAAAAAGTAGACTTTACTACCTATTCAATAATTGTAATTATCAAATTTACTTTTTAAATCTAATTTTTAAGTTCATATAGTATTACTTTTTTATAATTATCTATTTATGCGGTTAATTTAGGTAAAATTATAATATAATTTAGGGTCAATCAGGAATTATAATAATTAGGTTTCTCAATTGTGTCCCTATTGGGTAATAATATGTTTTTGTCAAAAAAATACCACTTATAATTAATTTGTTTATTAATTCGTGTCAAAAAAACTGTACCAAATTAAGTTTGTTTGTACCATTTTTTTTCGATAGCACAACAATAATAAAAATATTCACAACAATAATAAAAATACTTACAAAAATAATAAATATCAAAATTAATTTATTATAGTACCGTAGTCAAGTCCAATTATATGCAACTGGATAGATTGGTCCGCTGCAATGAATGAATGGTATGCTGATTTTACACCACTCAAATATAGTTGACATCCTCCAGCGGTCCCAGTTTGAAATAATGGACTTAGTTCAGGCGTGCAGCATGGACCCATGAAACCCTAAGCAAAAAGTGTCCACATTGGAAGTGGACTTACTATACACTTTGGCAATTTATGGATGCATTGGACTGAATTAGATTTAAATTTCAAATCAGTCTAATGAAATTTCAATGAGCCGGATTTGTAGAGGGATAAAAGTAATTTGTGTTATCCAATCCCTGCTTTAGATAGTGATGTATGATGTGGTTAAAATATGGACAAACTATAATTTTTTATTGAACATCTAATAACTTTGACATTAATTGATTATTTTAACCTTTAATCCTATTCAATCCTATCTCATTTTTAGCTTGAGAATTGTTGATTATCACTTTAATATTGTGAAAAATATAAGAATGCTTATGTATTGTAAAATTTCAACTATTACACGGTGATTTTAGAATACAAGTTAATTCCAGCACGTCTAGTGCTCGATCCCTGTTTACAAATCCTGTTATTATCGAATTCCATGAGGATGAATTTGGGTTTGGCATATTCAACAAAATTTCAACAGCATCTTCTATGTTGCCAAACTGACCAATGTCATTCATAAGCTCGTTGTATGAGATTGTATCCTGGTTTGGCATTTGATGGAAAAATCTGAATGCATCTTCCAGTCTTCTGTTTCTTCAAGTCTTCTATTTCTAGCAGCTGTCGCGGTCACCGAATTCCAAGTTATAACATCCTTATCAATCATCTCGGAGAACACACGAATGGCCTCCAATACAGATCCGCATTTTCCATACATGTCAATCAAGCAATTTGAAACTACCATACTAAACTCCACACCAAATTTAACAGTCTGGGAGTGAATTGACTGTCCTAATTGCAATAAACTTAGTTGGCCACAGGCAGCCAAAGCCGCCGTGAATGAGAACGAATTCGCACGAACCTCGTAACTTTCCAGCTGAAGGAACAACCTTAAAGCCTTACTGAAATACCCAGAATGCACGTACCCAGAAATCAAAGAATTCCAAGAGACTACAGTTGGTTCAGGAATTTCAACAAACAATTTGTGAGCATCATTCACTGACTCAAATTTCAAAAAGAAATTGATCAGAGCAATGGTGACCAAGGCATTTGAAACAAACCCAGATTGGAGAATGTGGCAATGAAGCTTTTTTTTTCTATATATAGAAATATATATGTATGTATATATCTACATTGAAATATATATATATATATAGAGAGAGAGAGAGAGAGACATTCGGCAACCACAAACCAATGAGCGCTGTTTGCTGTTTGCTGTAAGAGGGGACCAGCCTGAAGAAGAGGAGACAAAATGGGCTAAAAACCCCTAGATTATTGTACTGTTGGAGGGCATTTATGTAAATTCACTGTATATCCTATTGTTGGGCTGACTAATCCTAAAGTTCAAGTGGGATAATGGAGTCTGGTTCAGGCGGGATAAAAGGCAGATTTCATGCAGGCCGAGTAAATCAAGCCCAACGAGTATCCCACGAGCAAATGTTGATCCAAACAAGGGATACGTGAACCCCCAGAATATATTACCCAATCTTACTTGTTTTATCCCACTTTATCCAGCAAACCAAACACCTACCTACCTGTTTAGAAGTATCCATTTCACAACTAACTGAAATCTTATCATGCCCCGTTAAAGCGCATAGTGACTCCGGGTGGGGGATGTATGCTCTTAGGTGTGCCAAGGCAAGAAAGCTAATAGAGATTCTTTCATAGAAGCTTGACAGTCAGCAACACATCAATGAAACGGTGAGACTGTTCTAACTCGTGGTAGTACTCTACAAGCTCTTAAGGAGGCTCACAACAGAGGAGTTTTGAGTTTTGTCCCGCTCCGACTAAAGGGGCGCAGAGCACAAATGATTCCTTGATGAAAAACAGAAAGCATGGCTATTCACATTATGAAACTAGAATCCTTGAATTGCTTGTGATGGCAATCGATTTCGTTGCTTCAACAAATTTGCCATTCGTTTAAGAAATGCAACAAAGTGAATGACATGATATAGCAATAATAGCAACAGAATATAGTTTGTTTGTTTGTTAAGGCAGAATATAGTCGCTAAGGCATTTGTTTGTTTCCCAGAACTTCAAGGACTACTTACAGACGATCAGCATCCATGGTTTCATCCCAATCAAAACAACACCGGAATTCTCCATATAGATGAAGGGAAGTCACAAAAAGAAAATGCAAGTTGATTCCTGCCAAACATATCAACCTCCTCGCATATGTGCGCCCAATTCACCAAACTGTTCATCAGCTTCTACAGTGTCCTCCGAAAGGCGAACTGCATCCAGTTTTTGTTTGAGAATTTCAATTGCATTGAGCACCAGCTGAGAAGCTTTGATTGCGCCAGTAGATTCAACTGTGAATATAAAACTGTCTTCTCTGGCATGTATTTCCACAAGTCCTGGCTTACCCATTGCTTCTGCTTTCTTGATCACTTCATCATCATAAGTGTATGCCTCAGGATCAACCACCAAAACCTGGGATAAAATACTTAGCAATCACACCGGATACATTAACAACATATCAAATGCACTTTTTGGAATCTTAAGCACAGTGGAATAAACATCTAAACAGAACCCCACAAAATAATACTAAATATTACCAGTCAACATCCTCGTTTAATTTGGAAGAATCTTCACACTCATGGCATCCCTGAACTAAAATATAGTGAATTACTTAATGAATGACAGAGCCAGATTCCACTCCTCCACTTTGGGGACCGACTAATCCCAAAATTGTGCACGCTGGAACTTAGATTTTCCAAGATTAAGAAGAAATTCTAGGCTGAGAGAATCCACAACAGAATCCACATCCAAGAAATTGCATTTATGCTCGCTGCTACCATCGTAGGCAAATCTGAAGCTTATGGTGTCGAGCAGCCTAAGGACTGTTTCCCAAGAGGTAGGAGGCCCAACTGGCATCAGTTCCATAGGATTAACACACCTCACTTAAAAATTAAAGTTCATATAATGTAGACAAAGTAGCCATTGAGTCCATAGTTTAAGTTGTTTGCCCCTTGATTTGATTCCTTTTCTATGTATGAATGTTTAGACAACTGAATTCCCCGTTGTCTTGCTGTTGATGGAAAGAGAGAAGCCACCAGAAGCCATTAAAAGTGCACCTAAGGACAAAATTATCCCTAAACATTTCAAAACTAAGTCTTTTCCTATCAAGTAATAAATACTAGGTAACACTATGGAGGGCATGTTCAACATTGGGCAAAAAATAGGACTCTCTTCGAGAGCAGACATCACGAACGAGGCTAAACTCAGTTTGTCCAGTTAGCATCAATCCCTCGAGGAAGTATTTGACCGGAAATCATTTTCATCTTTGTCTGAAGATTGGGAGTTTCTCTTCCGCTGAAGTGATGGGCCTGTCGGGGACAATGGTTCGCCCTCTCTTCTAGTTCAAGGAAATTTTTACACCTCTTTCCCTTTTTCCTCTTTGTTCGGTCTATTTATGTCATTTAATTATTATGCAAGGACTGGGTGTTCAAAGAGAAGAAGAGGTCAGCATAGGGATTATGCAACCAGATAGGTAAACAATAGCAAATGTTGAGTTGGACAGTCAGAAGTATGATGTTTTAACCAATTTTTTTGCCATCATAAATTGAAAAGGTGCAATACGTTAAAAAACAGATTCAGAGATCTTGCTTTTGAAAAAGTGAATACCTAAAAAAAATTCTTATATTACAACATTTGCTTATTTCCAAACTTTTTGTGGAGATGCTTTTAGACAATGAAAAATACATGCATTTGTTCACGCTCTCAACCCTGAGTTTATGGGGAAGTTGCTTATAGCATTCATCCAAAAACAAGAAGAAAAAACAATGAAAGCAAGCCCTTATAAATCCATTAGTCAATCCTTCCTGCAGGTAAAGAAGTGTGCCTATGCATCAAATATCATCTAAATTTCAGATCCTATGACTGAATGCATAGCTAAATTGTTGCTATGTACTCGCTTCTTCCTTTATATCTCAGCATAAATGAAGTGTCAATGAAACATACTAAGCACAACATTTTTGACCCAGCACGAGAAATTCATGGAGTGTATGTTTCATGGAGTGTATGTGTCTACTACCAGTATGTCCGCCTCCACCCATGTCGTGCCGGCCAGAATTACACAAATTTTGATGTACCCACAAGTAATTTCCCTAATGCACTTGAAACTCCAGAAGTTCAGTAAAAAAATAGTAGGGTAAAAAATGTGAAAATGCTTTCTAATGCATAAACAATATTAAATGTCGTGTTACCTTCGAAAAAAAACATCAATAAGATTTTGCAATTTATTAAGGTTAAATGTCAAAGGTACTTGCAGAAATTTTTAAGAAACAAAAGCATCGTGAATAAAAGCGAACATGATAGATTAAACCCTCCATCCAAAGAAAACTCCGAAGCGAAGCAACTTTTGGAAGTCCATGAAGAATGCACAAACATATAAAAAAACATAGAAGAAAGCAACATATATATAATCTAACATAATATTCAAACCCTCAACCCAAGGAAACCACCGAAATGAATAATCAAACTAATTTTAACTAACCTGCTTGGTATTAGGATCAATTGCAAACACCTTGGTCGGACTACTTTCAACAAAGCTTTCCTTCTCCTCCAATGATAGAGTCCCCATCTTATCCTCATCGATATGGATCTCAGGCTCATACATAAATGTAACAGTTGCTGCGGGGGACCATTTAGCATGATCTTTGCCAATACCTTTTCGTGCTATGGCTCTCAGCCTCAACTCTTGGCCACGACGTAGCTTCACAATTATAATCCCCCTAAATACAAAACAAGCCATCACATGCTGTCAAGTTATCACAAAATAAGTTTCCTGCTAATTACATTAACCAAGATTGAAACTAGGCTGCTCAAAAAATCCCTAACTGATCTATTATACAGCAATTTAAAAAAATAATAAAACAATTTCCCGTCAGCCCATCAGCCATCAGCATTAGAAGTAAAATGCCATAAAAACCAGATTGTATTGTTTTCACCTCCATTTGTTGCTCAGTTTTCGTCATTCGGTTCCTATAATAAAAAACAATCAACACTCCAAACACAAGCCCCGGTGCCCAGGCCGAGAGGCCTCCCTTACCCCAATACAAACTGAGCTTAGTTCTCCACTTATTGAACATCAAAACACCCAGGGGAACAATAATAACAATGATAAGGTTCACAAACCCAGCTTCCTTGCTTTTCTGTTAACATTTTCAACATGGTTAGGCCCCATTTGGCCGCCAATATTTGTCCATATGTATAACCGATGTGGTAATTAGTCAAACTGGTTTTCTTCTCAGGAAATCATACACATGAAGTTCATAAGGACACAATTAACCATATATCATTCCCATTTCCTTCACTTCCTCAGCAACCTTTGATGAGAAACAATAGTCATGCATTATTCCTTCTCTTTCTTCTCACCTTTCCCGAATAAATAGACAGTGTTCGGAAACGCTAAAAACCCTCGCATGGCTGCATTACTATAAAAACAGAAGGAAAATAGATGAATCTCATAAACCTTCATCAATTGCATCTTCATTACAGGAACTAAAACCCAATATAATAAGAATTTCTATGAGCATAAATATAAAATACACGACTTTCATAACATCACAACCAGAGATAGATAGATAAATAGATAGAGAAACTAACTTATTCTCAGTATTGTCGAAGCCGGAGCCAGCGGAATCGGAGAAATCAACCGGAACAACAGTGTGGTCAGAGCTGTATAGATCCTTGCTAGTGACATCTAGAGTTTGGTCATTCATGCACTTGGCCCTCAAATGGAACTCAACCGAGCAGTACTCGCACTGGCCGTCACCGTCGCAGGCGTCACAGTCACGTGAGAAGCGCATGCTCATGGCTCGTTCGCTGGTGAGTGGGATGAGACCGAGCCTGTGTGAGATGAACTCGTCGTTCAGCACCGACGAGTTCACTTCAATTTCAACCAAATCGATCGCAATTGTAGGGACCTCCGCTATCATCACCCGCCGGAGCGCATTGGCCATGCTAGCGTCAGTGTCTCGGAGTTCAAACTTCGCGTAATCGTCCTTCAACTCTCTGATCTTTACCGTTGGAAATCGCTGGTACGATGCTCCTTCCATCTCTCTCTCTCTCTCTCTCTCTCTCTCTCTCGCCACTCTCTCTCTGTCCGTTTTGGTCTCTGTCCGAGGTTTGATGGGTCTAAACCCCGCGTGAGAATTGGGGATTCGGCAATTTCTGATTTGGGCTCAGGCCCAGGCCCAGAGTACCCGAGACGGTCCACCAGAATAAAGAAACTTTGGCCTGAATAACACTTGGGACCCTAAACAATATTTAAATTTTTAGTTTTTCCTCAAAATGATTAAAATTCTCTAATTACAAAAACAACCATCTAATTATCCAAAATCAAATATCTGTTTCTTTTTTCGACAATTTTTTATATTGTAGTTTCTATATTGAATAAATTTATTTATATATTAACCAAAAAAATTATATGTTACTTAATTAGAGGTATTTTATATTAGAATTTTATACCTACTTCTATTAAAACCTACTGCATTGCTATTTTTTATGATTGAAGACCCACATTTTAATCTTTTAAGGTTTAAATGAAAATTTGGAAGGTGAAAATTGTTGACAATTTAGTATTCAACGTTTACAATAGATCTTATTACAGAGAATTTGTATTATGGTCGTGTTTGAAATAGTTGTGTGCATAAGTTATATGTAGTCAAATCAACCCATCTATAAACAAGCGACCTATAACTGCACAATGTCCTGACCATGCTAAATAACTAGCAGCATGACTGCATGAGGATCACTTCAGAACTGTTCTCTGAAGAATGGGCATTTTAAGGTTGGATCTAAAAAGCTTCCCCAATAACACAAGTGCTTCTGCTTGGTTGAAATTAACATACATTTGAACCCTGTACCGAGTTGGATCTTCCCTATGAACTGTTACAATACAACCATCCCACCATTTCACAAAATACAAGAGTGACAAAGAGAAATAAACTTAGAAATCGATCACACTCAGCAACAAATATTAGTCTAATTACATCTAAAAAGAAGTGGAAAAAGGACGATGATAACAGATTACAATGCATAGTCAAAAATTAGACAACCAGCTGATAGTCGGTATGCTGGATGCTTGTATACAGTCCATAGCAAGATTTAGTGCTTGCTGAGGAATAGGTCACGAGAATGGAGCCAAACCCCTACTCATTTGATCACAATCTCTCCAACATTTCAATCATACATGGTAGGAATCCTGCCTGGGAACAAAGCTTGATTAATCAGAAGTGTAAGCCTAAAGTTGAGCACGCAGCAGTGAGGCAGAGGATCATCCCTCAATGATTAGGCTGCCCTTCTTTCACTCATGTCAAGAAGTTTTCTTTGAACCCACACGCTCCAACCGTTTAAATACTGGGGAGTATGTGTGGTGGCGGATAATACTGATAAGGACGAAAGTATTAACAGCCAAGAAGAATAAACTCGCCAACCACAGCTGAATGAAGACATGCTTGCCTTTGAATTCAAGCAGATAACCCCAAATTAACCAATGCGTTTGAGCTCCCATCCACAAAAAATTGCAGGCCAAGCCTTTCCATTTAAGTTTCATACTGCACCATGGCAGAATCAGAGGCAACAGACAGAAGAACCACACAAAGTACTGCGCTGTTATGACCTGTCAAAGGAAATTACTTATAAATGACATTATTTATAGAGGTAGATAGCGAAGTCTTCTGTTAAGGAATGATAACCAACTGGAACTTAAAGAACGCAAATAATAAGACAGCTTCATTTAGGATCCAAATTGGAAATTGAGCAGGACAGAACATTATAATCTTGGTTCACAAACCTTATTGAATGCTACAAATGCTAGCGTCTGCACAAAGAAACAGAATGGCAAATCCTGTGCAAAGCGGAATATGAGAACCAGCTGCACTATAATTTGAGGCAGAAAAGAGATGAGCTTTTCTAAGGCTGAAAACTCATGTTCGTACTGGAGATAAATGTGGTAAAAAATAATAGAAAAGTTATGCCTAGGATCTGTGCGAGTAAGGTGGTATAGCAGCGCCTCATGCAAGAACTCCCATCCATATAAATAGAAGAAAAACCCAGTGCAACAGAAGAACACAGCCCCAGAAACCAGCCCGAACATAAGTCTCCTTACTGTAACCAGTCTTGTCAAAGAGACCCACGTATGATGTGGATCACCACCTTTTGTGCTACTTGACTTGAAGGCTGACTTGATTCTACTAGAACTCCAATCTATTACAGCAGGCTTCTTACCAGACTGGAAGTAGAGAGGATCAAGAACTAAGATAATAGGAAGTGCATAAATTATAGGATATATTCTCAAGTGAACAACCAGGCCATACCAAACAGCAGCTTGCAATAGATTACCTGTAAACCAGAAAACAGCATGACAGTAAGAAAGTTAAAAGGTACTAACCGCGATCCCAAATCCAAAACCTGAAAAAGAGTACAGGCAAGACAGTCCTTTGTTTCTTTGAAATTTCAGATTGAAGTACATCACATTTTTCAGCTATTTAACTTTCCATTCCAGCCTTTTCACAGTTGAACTTCAACAAGGTTCTCATTACAATGTATCATCAACAAAAGTAGAACTTTTACTAATTCAAATGAGCATGCTTCACCCTCTCAAGCAATAAAAAAGATAAATAATATTTCCTTTTATATTATCAGTGGACTGTAAAGTTCATGCTTTTTCTTGAAAGTATATCAATAATAAGAAGCATGTGTTTGTACCACGATTATTAGATGCAGTATGCAATGTCAAAATTGGAACTTTCCTTCAAAGACTTCGAATATCCCTTCCTTGATATACCTTTTAAGCCTTCGAATGCCACTTTCTTTTCTTTTAGATTATGTTGAACTTTGATGGAAAGCAGGTTTATGTAAGATGATGGGTATGAACACAATAAAAAGCATAAATCCTGATTAACAGCGTACTGACATTTCAGAAACCTCAGAGACGCAATTGATTTGAGAAGTTAATGCAAAGACAGAGAAAGCTTACCATTCATGAGACAAACGATTATCCATAAAACCATGGCACAAACTACAGGCTCACAGTTCCCACGGGTTCCAATTGTGAATGTAAATGGATTGACAAGCCATACCATTGCACAGTAGGTGCTTATACTCTGAGGCACTCCTCGTAGCTTCAAAATGGTGTGGATCAGCAAACCGACAAGTAAATCTGATTGCATATGAACACAGTATAAGTTTCACCTTAGTCTAATCTTCTAACATACACAATAGTGCAGACACCCTAGGTGATAAAAGAAATATGTACACGTAACAGAAAATAAGAAATGTAATTGATCTTTAAACTAAACACATGCCTCTGCGATCGTATTTTTGACATTATCCTTATTTCTAAATAGACAGGAACATTTTGCAGATACTCAAGAGGTGTCAAATGTTTTTACACAGTCCAGGGAAATCCTTGAGATCCTACAAACCTCGAATGGTTTGAAGTTTAAATCAACATGAAACAGAAACACACAGCTATAGTTTACAGCACCATTTGGTACAACCTTAAAATCAGGACTAGAACAAGTAACTAATTAATACCCAATACACAGAAAAAGAACATAGAAAAAGAAATAGGAAAGGAAAGAAGAAAACTAATGGGTATCAAATAAAACACAAAGTTGTATACCTCTAGCTATCACCATTGATTTACTCAATACTTTAATAAAAGACCACAAAGTTCAAAATGATATACCACATTCAAGAGCATTCAAACAACCCCACATCACTAAATATCAATTACAAAATTAAAAAAAAAAATGTTAAGCCTAAGAAACTCAATGAAATCATGTACAAGAGTTAATGTTATTATACAAATTTGTTTCAATTTGCTCTATTGTGATCTAAAAATCACGGGTTCAAGTCGCAGAAATAATCTTTGCTTGCAAAAGTAAAAGGCTATGTACATCTACCACTCTCCAAACCCCACAATGATGGAAGCGTGGTGGGCTGGGTACGCCTATTTTATATATATATATATATATATATATATATATATATATATCAATTTGCCCAAAAAAAAAAAAAAAGAGTTAATCCCAACAATCCAACATTCATGAAAAAATTCATTCATTGAATAAAGTAGTATACCTGAAGCTGAGAAGATAAATTTTCCCCAGGAGTGATGAATAATTGAATTAGGAATGAGGAGAAATGCGATCAAAGGTGAATATCGATAAGTAGATCTTTGGTAAGGGGATTTTCCAGATGCCATCAAAGAAGCAGCATCAGAAAATACAAGATAGTCAACATCTGTGTATCTAACCTCCATGTGAGTGTCTTGCCATTCTCCGTAGATGATTAAGAACAGACGAGAGAGAAGAAATGCGAGAACACGAGCAGATTGCGAAAACTAATGTTTTTCATCGCCGACATGAAGAATTTGAAAGATCACTAACTGAGCGCCTTCAATCTTGTAAACTAACTAGCGATAATCCGTGCCTGAAGATAATGTACAATTCAAAAATTGAACATTAATCGTGGACACAAAAATTTCAAGTATTGAATATAGATACGCACTAAGATCAAAGTGTAAACTACATCCTTAAGACACTGGCACTGTAATGAAAAAAAATTACAAATCAAAAATCAGAAAAAGAAGAATTAATTGGTGGCATCATTTATACAGATTCATGGAATAACTGTAAAAATCATCAACATGAGAAATCAAACAAAATTAACAAACAATTGAAACAATTGAAATTTCTTCAAATCACATATCAAATATAAATAAGCTATTAGTTACAACAAATCCACAATGTAGTACTCCATCACTTTATCTGTCAATCCAATTACCTATTCAAAGGAAAAGAACCCAACACAAATTCTAACTTATAATCCCATAGAGAGTTCACAATATTATGGAGAAGCGTCAAAAAAAAAAAAATAAAACAATGTAGTATAAAAAAATACCTCCAAGAATTTCCCCCATTTTGAGATTTTGTGCAAAAAATTGATAGCTTCCACCTTCAAAAGTAAACATAAAAGTTAGGTCTATCAATGATAAGAATCTCAATTTATATAATACAACACATTTGCCTACCAAAATAATTTGTTTGATGATGCTTGAGTTTGGGGGTCGACTCCTTTAATAGATATAACACAAATTATGAGAGGGACTTCAAATGCCTAAACTTCTTCAAGAAATAACTGAGTAAACAATAAGAATCTCGATAACAATTTTGTCCATTAATAACCCATGCTTAAAGCCACTTCAAAAAAATCATTCCATTTGAAATAGTTTTTCTTTCATTGTGTTTTAATTAAAGAAATTGAAATCAATATAACCCTTGCTATTTTTTTTTTTAAATTCGCAAAATTTACTCTAAAAAAAAGAACCAAAGAAAATCTCAACCAGCCTACAGATATCTAATTATATGTATCATTGCCCAACACAAACCATTGCATTGTCCAATACAAACTATTGCATAACCAAACACAAACTATTATACTTACTAATATCAACACATTCCTCATATAGCATTACAATTTGAATCCAACAAATATTAGCGTAATGATTATCAATCCACCAATTAAGACATTTTATCAAACACGTATTATACTAACAAATATCAATCCACTACATAGAAATTTGGCCCACCAACCCATATTTATCAAAGCCTTGCTCTTGATCATGGATTGAATGTCATACCCGTTTTCCACACTCACCAAATGCCAGATAATGCTTATACACAAAATGAAGTGTAAAAAAACCACCAAGTATTATTGCAAAGCTCATCATTTAATGTAACAAAACACATGTAAACAAACTAAATTTTATCAAAATCCAATATACCAAAAAAAAAAGAGATAAAAATTGAGTCGAAAAGCACCAAGCTAGTGGATCAAAACTAAATTAATAAGATATCAATTAAGAATGATCAAAGTAAAGTACAACTACTGTAGAAAGTAGTATTTCCCAAATATTCCAAGCAATCAAAGCTTTTCTAATGTACACATTAGGTATATTTATTTTCAAGTATAACACAATCGTATGACATAATTATTGCACGAAACATTCTATTCCTACTGGGTATGAAAAGCTTGTACCATGGAGTAAAAACCAAACGTAATGAAATCTCACCCATGAATGTAACTTCTCAACTCATCAACTAAAATCCAATTCCTTCCATAGCCAAAAGTATGAACTTCATTTGGTTTTAAGTCTCCCTATGAATGGCCAAAGCAATTCAAAGTTAACATACCAGTAGTAAGTTTCTTCGAAATTTTGAAACAAAACAAAAAAATCAATTTTTAATAGCAAGTGAAAGGTAGATATTTGAATTGCAACTATCTATTAGTAATAGTGGGAAATAATCTATTTGGAGAGCAAGAGAGGCCATACAATCATAATTCAAATAATTAAGTCAACCCAATTCAAAAAATATCACAATCATTATGCCTAACATAGTCTACTCAAAATCCAATTGCACAAATTACTTGAAAAATAACGATTCACACTATTTTAAAGCCCTACATATTCAACTGCCAAAAAAAATTAATTTCAAACCCACATTGACAGATCATATCAAAGAGTAAGGTTTTTTTTTTTTATCAAGATCAAAGAGTAAGATTACTTATTAATTTCTATGTTGGAGTTTTTGACGAGTACCCCAACAGGTATTGGAGTAAAAATAATTTTATCGCAACCCATATTTTATACACAACATGCATAAATCATGTGAGTGTCTGTTGTGCTTAAAATAAGGAAGCAAGAAGCATTAAAGCACAGAAAATGAAAAATGGACTTTTTTTCTTCACTCTGACATTTCATCAACCACTTAGAACACAAGGCATTGATTTTTGGTTTCAGTCTTTGTCAAGGGCCTTTTTTCTCTCTCTTTGCCATTTTGTCAACCACATAGTATGCATAAAAAGTAAGGGGTGGAGGCATTAATACCAAGGACTTGAACATTTGATAACTAATAACGACAAACTCAAGAAAGTAGTCATGAGGAGATCAATCAATACATTTCTCCAATATTATTCATTCTTCACCACCACCCTATAAAAATTAAAACCACAAAATAATGAAATGTATTCTATGAAAATAAAACCACCATTCTACTTTTTCAAAAAAAAAAAAAAACTATGAAATAAAAATTCAAAACCTTGAATGCACGCATACTTCAGAAGTTTCAATAAATGAGTTTATGAAAGTTATGAAAAACCCTTAAAAAAATAGCATCTCAAATAAATGAGTATGTATACATAGGGAATTAGAGAAGAGCAAAATCGTATAGGGTTTGAATTTGAGGGTGAGAGTTTTCACCAAATATTTCTAAAATACTATAGAAATAGGTAGCTTCAAAAAAGCATTTAAATGATTAAGGTCCCAGCAAATTTTCGAGACAACCTCAATTAACATTTGAAAAATCAATTTATTGCACACCATCATTTCCAAATAAAATGCAACTAAGTAACCTATTTGGCCTAACAATGAAACTAAGTAAGGGGGTTTGTGTGTGAGTGTAGTGGGGGCAAAGAGGGTAAGAGTTTGTAGATGGGTTTTTGTGTGTGTGTGTGTGTTTTTTTTTTTTGGGGGGGGCCCAGTAGAGGGAATAAGGGAAATGGAGGGGGTTTCTGCACACACGCGTGTGTGTGTGCATGAGAGGGAAGGGAAGGAGAAGTAGAGAGGACGAGGGAAGGGGTTTTTGCATATATGACATGTGAGAGTTTGTTTTTGCATATGTGTGTAAAAATGCAATACAAATTCTTGAAGTAAAACAAAATAACACATTTTTAGTTTCACATAATCAATTTTCTCCATTGAAAACAAAATTCTATAATCCTAATTTCCACTACCCAACCCTTAAAATTGGCACCTAATTAAAGTTTTTGATTCTCCAAGAAAAACAACAAATAGAAATAAAAATTCTAACAATCAAGAAAACTTTCAACTCTACTTAATGCACCCATATAACATGAAGCAACTAAAACTTTTGGACTTTCATACGATCGTAACAAAACTTGGGCAAAAGAACTCTGTTTATAAATAAAGCATCACAATACAATTCAAACCTTTAAGATCACACTCCAATCGGTAGAGTACCCATATCAAAAACTATTTATAAGAAACAATCATGGGGCAAACAATGACTATAAACTTAACTACCGGCCATATCTCAAGCATGTGTGCATGTTTATGGTCAAAGTTTTAGTTCATTACTACTTATATGGAAATCTTTTAAAATCATAATATAAAGCACGTCAGGTTATGGAATAGGCACCTTTGAAAAAAAAATAGAACACAGACCATTTTCTGTTCAAATAAAGATTAAATCAAATTGTCATGTGATTCTATATACGATTCATGTAGTAATTTTCACTAAACATAGTTCAATATACATATAGACGTATAGCGACCATTTTGGTGAGTTCAAATATGAGGCAAGCCTTGATTTTATTCATGCCCCAAAACACCTTCAAAATCATGAAAGAGACGAACCACAACTTCACATAGAGCACGCTTTTGGGGCAATCGCGTATACACCATTTATATATCACACTACATAACAACAACATAATGATAATAAAATAACTCCTCTTTGTTGGGATTTGTGGTAATTAATGTGTTGCTTGTTTGTGAATCTTGATCAAACAAATATGAAATTTTTGGATTACACAAACCCGCAAAATCCCAAAAGCTCAAGACTAAAAACATAAAAATAAACTGGATAGATGGAAAATGAAATTGAAAAATATAGACAGAAAAATAAAAATTAAAGAGATGAGAAGCAATAAAATAATAGATAAATCCATCTCATCGAAGCAATACTACAAACACATGGTGTTAGATGGTCGTGGGCGAGTTACCGCTAAGGATGGAGGTTTAATAATGGTAATCTCATGCCGACTAAAGAACACCAAAATTCACAATTAAACGGAATCAATTCAATTTCGCAAAAAGTTAAACAAAGAGTCATAAGCAAACATTTAATTTCATATTGTAGTGACAGCAATTTGAATTACAATCCAAATCAAAACTATCATTTAACGGTTTCATCTTCTAAAAATCCAAAAATATAAAAAAGATAGACCTATTGAGGCCCATTATAGACAGGATTTGCAGAGAGCAAAACTTGTGGATCTTTGTGTAATCTAGCCTCCAAGTCAATTGAAACAAAAGATAATTCATTGCTATACATAGGAGCAACATCACTAGAATAATACAATGATTCTGAGGCTTGGACAAACTCCAGGGAGATTTATCCGAGAGCAAGTGGCATCATCACTATACCATAAAATAATAATTAAAACTACTCTTAAAGC